AAGAGCTGAGTGTGACCCTGAGCTGAGGAGGGACTCAGTCTGAGTTAGTCTAGACACTCCTTGCCTTTGAAGAGGCCAGGCTGAGGCAGTACCTGTCCCCTAGACCCGGGTCTGAGTTTCCTGGCAGGTCCTAGCTTCTCCACCCACTTCTCTCAGCAGCCACCATCACGATCACCGCCCATGGTGCTCTCATGCAGTTCAGGTAGGGCCAGCAGGTGCCCCCCAGCTCGCTGGGTGCAGCTGTGCCACCTGGGACACAGCGAGGGGCACCATGCCCCCCTGCTGCAGTGGATGCAGCTGTGGCCAGTCTGGGGACACAGCTTGGGGTGCCATGCCCCACTGCTCGCTGAGTGCAGCTGTGGGCATCTGAGATGCAGCAAGGGCTCCATGCCCCGCTGCTGCAGTGGATGCAGCTGTGGCCATCTGGGACACAGTGAGGGGCTCCATGCCACCCTGCTGTGGTGGATATAGCTGTGGTCAGTCGGGACACAACGAGGGGCACCATGCTACACTGCTGCGGTGGGTGTAGCTGTGGTCAGTCTGGGATGCAGTGAGGGGTGCCATGCCCCCCTTCTGCGGTGGGTGCAGCTGTGGTCAGTCTGGGATGCAGTGAGGGGTGCCATGCCCCCTGCTGTGGTGAGTGTAGCTATTGTCCGTCTGGGACATGCAGGACAGAGAGCCCTCCTGAGAGGAACAGGAGAACCACCATGGTGATTTGGTTCTGTGCAGGCTGAGCCAGGAGCAGATGGGGAAGGACAACCGCAGGGCTGAGGCAGAGAGGGGGCACTCGCTGTGGCAGGAGACCCCCATGAGCGCCACCTCAGTGGACCAGGTGCCTGCGGGCAGGGGTCTGCAGCAGAGCTGACTGTTTGCTGCCTTAGCTACGCCTCCTCACTCCAGGCCTCCCGACCCCTCCTAGAGGGGACCCCTTCTCCTTCTGGCCTCCACTCCTCCCAGGGTCGGGCCCAGCGTGCAGGGCCGCTCCTTCCCGTGGGTCTGTAACTAGCCGTGGCCCAGGGCACCGCTCAGCCCTGCCCCGAGCCAGGAGCAAAGCTGTCTTCTGCCTACACTGCCAGCTCCCGCCAGGGCCACCAGAGGGAACCAGGGACCCTTCTCCGCCCCACCTGGCCCTTGGCGGGTGCCAAATGGGTGTGGGAAACCCCTGGCTTCCGCCCAGCAGTGTGCCGCCCTCCCCTGGCCGCACCACGCCACCCCCCACCATGGCTTCCACCTAGCAGTGTGCCGCCCTCCCGAGCCATACCACGCCACCCCCCAACATGGCGCCCTGGCTCTCCTTTGACCCCCTCTTCTCTGGTTCTAATGTTTCTGGTTTTCTTTCCAGTATGACAGGCTTAACCTGATCAAAGTAAGAAGCGGTTTTCTCTCCTAATTCCTGACCGTTGTAGAGCTCCTCAGGCCGCCCCTGCCCCACCCCACCCCGCCTCCCCATCTTCCAGGCTCCTGGGCC